TGCTAAAATAAATAGGCAAAAGTCAGAAATAATGCCTATTGGAAAAGGTTGTATGACAGAAAATGAACAAAATTGTCATGGTCTCAAATTTGTGAAAATGAAATTTTGTTATTAGGTGTTTATATTGGCAAAAATGAACATGTATGTAATAAATTGAATTGGAGAGGAAAACTAAATAAAATTAAGATGTTATTAAATATGTGGATACAAAGAAAATTGACAATACATGGTAGAGTAAATGTAATAACCTCTCTGTTAATGTCTAGATTGTGGTATAATTTATTTGTTACTTCTATGCCTGAATGGGCTATTGAAGAAATGAAAATACTATGTGTTAATTTTGTGTGGAATGGTGGTGCACATCTTGTACAGTATAATACTATTATGTGTGATAAAACTAAAGGTGGTTTACAACTGCCTGATATTAAATCAAAGCTTTGTGCTTTTAGATTGAAGTTTTTAGCCAGATTTTTAAATGAAGATTATAATGTAATATGGAAAGACATTTTTAGGTATTTTATTTCCAAAATATTGAATATGAAATTGGCAGAAGAAATTGTATTCATGTCTTTAAAAGATAAATATTTGTCTTGTATTCCTGTGATATACAAAGAAATGTTACAATCATTTTGCTTTATTAGAGAAAATGTATCCTTTGATTATACGATAGAAAATATTTATAACCAACCGTTATTTTGTAATTCAGAAGTTTTGATATGTGGGAAAACAATTTTAATGAATGATTTTATAGAGGCTGGAATAATTCAGTTGAAGGACATTTGTTATGGGGTGATACCTGGATTTTTACCTCAAAATGCTATTGTAGAAATTTTTGCTAGAGGGAATGATGAATATGATATAGATAGTATTATAAAACGTTATCGATCACTTCAGTCTGCTTTACCAGAATTGTGGACTAAAACTGTAGGGACTGAGGTGTATCACAGAACAAACAATAGAAAAATTGACATTAATTTGAATATGAATTGTAAACTTGTTGAATTTAAGATGTGTTCATCAAAACAGTTATATTGTCTTGTTATAGATAAATTGTGTCAGCAACCAAAATCTTTTGACAAATGGATGAATATCTTTCAAGAGGATGAAAGTATTATGGATAAAGTATGGAAAATTGTTAATATGTTTTGGAAACCGTCAATAATGACGGAGCTTGATTTTAAAATAGCCCACTGTTGTATATTTACAAACGAACGTTTATTGAAAATGAAGTTGGTAGATAATGATTTGTGTGATATTTGTTGTAATGAAATAGAGGATATTATGCATTTGTTCATAAAATGTTCTGAACTGTATGACTTTCATCAGTATTTGATTACAAAAGTAGAGTTATTATTAGATACTTGCGATTCAGATCAAGTTAATTCTGTTGTATATGAATAAATATTTATGCTAGGTTTAACTGTAACAATCAATGGTGTAAATGCCAGTTTTGTTAACTTTATGTTATCAGTTGCACGTTACTGTATATTTAGAAGAAGAAATCTTGTAAAAAATAATGTAAAGGGTATTGATATTTTAAGATTTTTCCAATACACATTGAAGCATTATGTGACTTATTTTCATGAATATTTGTGTCAAATGAAGAATATGAGTAACATATTTGAAAAGCACTTCCTTCTGCATAATTCTATACTGCAGAAAACAGACAGTGGTGTGATTATATTTGATCTCTGATGTACTAAATGAATTATAATCTTAGTAAACTTTAAGATGGAATTTGTATTCTGTTATTAGAAATGTGTTGTATTGTGTAATTTAACTGTGATATTAGATACATTTTAATGATTTTATTTATGTAATGTGATGATAGATTTTAATAAAGATAAAAAAGGCTCTCGCTTACAATGAAGATAGCAATGCAGTGAAGTGAAAGGGGGGTAACGGTTCGAATCCCGTGCAAGGACGGTTGATTTCAAAATCACAAAATGACATAATTTTTGCATTTTCCCTTACGTTTAAATGTTGTCTTCCTATCTTTAAACATAGGTAGAGATGATGAAAATTGTTGACCTTTTGTCTCTATAGTGTCGTAAATGGTTCTCACGGCTCAGTATAGCATTGTTCCGAGAAACAAATGATTTTACGCTTGCTTAAGTACAAACATTCAGATATTTCCACGTCTTTCTCCGTGTTAATTGACAATTTTATGAATGTTTACATTAATATATTTTTTTCTGATAAAAATCGTTTTTCAAAAATATTTTAACGAATGTGTCCTGTAAAGTTTATAAAAAGAACTTTTTGTACCTTTTCGCATGGGCTGGCTCATATCATTTTCAAAGTGACAAAAAAAAAAATAGCCGAAAAGATAGGAAATAGAAATCCTTATAATACCTCATATCGAACGTTATAATTTTATGCGAATTTTGAAAAAAAAAAACAATTATCCAAAGCAACTAAAATTCTACCCTTAACACCAATCAGCAAAAAGTCCATATTTCCAATGATTTAATGGCAATAATTTGAAGCCGTTTCCAATGGATTTGGCATCTATCAAAACATATAGTTTGCAAAAAACACATCTAAGATATATTGATTTCAATAAAAAGTTATGGCAAAATCACTTATTTAACTTACTTGGTACTTTCGACGATATCACCTATATGAGCCAGTCCATGCAAAAAGGTACAACAACGAAAAAATTACCAAATTTTAAAGTGTGCATAATTATTGGTAGCAGTCTTGTGATCTATGAAACTCAGTTACTTTTCCCAATACCCTTAAGCTGTAAGTTATACACATCTGCATGTGCTGACCCCCCTTGTTTTATTCAAATTTTACTGAATTATTTCATATAGTTTTATCATTTTCCATGTTTAGTTTAAATATCTTAAATTGCCATTTGATGATGATCTCTCCGGTAGCAGTGGGGACAAGGCTGGTTAATTCTATTGGTCATGAACAGATATTTTTACTTGGGTTTTTGAAACGTTCACAAGTTATTAATACTTATTTTCTAAATTTTTTCTTTAGTGTAGCCCGACATTGCATATTCAAAACACGGAATTTAAGGGAGCTACCATTTGATATTTATGGGGGGCTAGGATGAAAAATTTTGTCCTACCTTTTTTTTAGTTGTAATCTCTGTCCTGCATTTTTATTTTTCACTCTATTCGGTCCTGCCTTTTTTTTTAAGTTTATCCTGACTTTTTTTTACATAAATCGTCATCCTGCCTTTTTTTAATTAAAACTCCTGTCCTACCTATTTTTTCAAATTTCATCCTAGCCCCCCCCCCCCCTCCCATAAAAATAAAATGGTAGCTCACTAAAAGTTTTTCATGACAAAGACATAGATGCACTTCGTTTATTCAAGTACACAATTAAAAAATACATTGAATACGCATACACGTATTATAAAATGACACGACAAAGACAATTATTCTATAAGTATTTTTTAAACAATAACACTTTATTGGATATTCAAAATGACAACATAGTTTTGTTTTACTAGACAGTTACTTCAATTTGATTGGTTGTTAGAACAAAAGATCACAGTCCAATGTAAAATTATCGATCGCATTTAGGTGTGTTCGACTTTTGAAAAATATTTTAGAGTTGTCTCGCTTTCAATATATAACTCCTGTTCAATTCATATACATTTTTGATAAAAGAATCACTATAAAATAAATTGGGACTAATATGCTATACTATTTTTAAAGTTTTTAACGTGTATCATCTAGATGTATTTTACTTTTTTACTAATGTAGGAGGATAACTACTAACAACTCTGTAAATAGAAAACTTCTCACCAATGAGGAATGTCTCATGGTGACAGTATGTAAATATGTAATAAAAATTTTATTAATGATAAAAAAAAAGGCTCTCGCTCACAATGCAGATAGCAATGCAGTGAAAGGGGGGTAACGGTTCGAATCCCGTGCAAGGACGGTTGATTTCAAAATCAGAAGATGACATAATTTTTGCATTTTCCCTTACGTTTAAATGTTGTCTTTAAACATAGGTAGAGATGATGAAAATTGTTGACCTTTTGTCTCTATAGTGTCGTAAATGGTTCGTTTAATGTACAAACGGGAACGCATTGAAAAGAAAAGAAAAAACAATATTATGGCTCCACATGCTCTGTGTTGATTGTTTATCAATGTAACGATGCGGTAAATTTCGGCAACAAACTTGAAAGTTTAATAGCTTGCATCCTTTATTGCTGATTTTTTTTGCTGTTTATAGTCTCTTTTTATACGTTTTCAAAATAATTGATAAAAACGTTAAATTTGGTAAACAAAATATGGTCATGTAAGGACAGCAACTCAAATAAGAAGTTAATAATGGTTTCATTAAAATTGGCAATTATGTATATATTCTATCTATTATGGCTTCCATGTTATGGTTATGATTGGTGGCTGTTCAACGTCAAGTGGCAAACTAGTTGCATATTCAGGATAAGAACATGTTAATGTGAAATGAAGATGAACCCTACTTTGTACAAGACCAGCTTGCTGAGCCAGATTTTAACATGCTATTTCACAAGTCCACAGGAAGATTATTCTGTCTCCAGGCCAACCAGTGTTTGCTCTTACTCCTAAATCCTGTGTGCTTAGCGTAAAAGTAGCAAATATCAATTTTTAAGTCTTTTGTTTTGACGCAGTTGGGGATCAAACCAAAAATCTTCTTCACTGGAGGCCATCACTCTACCAAAAGACCACTGAGGCAGTTTACAAGATAACAGACAAAAAACTAAAACTGCTAGATTTTATCAAGGTAGCCATGATGGTTAATTGGCAGAAACAACAAACCAAAAGTTTAAACTAGATACACTAATAGTTAATTCAGGCCGATTTGGTTGAAATTGGTCCAGTAGTTTCATAGGATACTAGTAAACATTTTTTAACAACTGACACTGAATGATTACAACAGCTAACATGGCCCATAAGATAAGGTGTCAAGTGAGTTAACAAAAGTAGAATATCATCAATCACAACAATGGAATCATATCTAAAAGGAAGATCAAATAAAATGAAGAATGATAAAACAAACAATTTATTTTTGTCATGAATCTGGAGATCTGTTTCTGTGAAGTTGTGGTCGTAGTGATGATAATGTGATCAAAAAGGCTTCCTAAAAAGAGAGAAATATCTTTCAGTATAAAGCATAATAATTTGTTTACATATGTTCACCTAGAAATGCATGAATTATTTTTACAAGAGCAATTACACATGTAATCAAAATATTGTTTATGTCTTGAATCAGGATGTATTGTTTTCAATGAAAATAAAAACTACCAAAATAGAAAAGTAACCAATGTTTATTAACTCTAAAATTTGCCGAAGGATTGTAACAAAGCAAACTTATCTTTTGTGCAATACTAGAAAAAGTCCCATAATTCTGGTATTGACAAACTGAAAACTCGACAAATTTTGTAGGGATTTTCAACTTTCGTAAATTAAAAGGTGAGTAAAAAACTATGGAAGGAGTGTTTTGGGCCTGTAAATATAAGAAAAAAATGAAAAAAGGTTCTCCTGAACACTTTGTCTCGTCTGGACTGCTGTTGGCAGTGTAAATTGAATGTTGACTGACAAAAAATAAGTCCTTTTATTAGTAAAATACTGAGAACAGAAAAGAAGAAAACTTTGCTTAGGATGCTATGTCTTGATTATAAAGAAGCTTCTGTCCAACTTTTGTAACATTCCATGAAGAATAGACAAAGATATTTAAGTTTTAAAATCGTTTACCACAGACTGTACCTAAATATTTAAGGTGAACAATAAGTCCATTATTTAGTTAAGTATGTAGCAAAGCGATGAACAAAATGTAAATTTTACTCTTGATAGTAACTTTTGAGTTTTGAGATGCTTCTGTAAAAAATTCAAGAAATTCTATGAAGGTTTGAAAAAGGTTATTAAAGTTTTAAAAACTTTTAAAAAAAAGGTATCTGAATATTAACTGCGAAAAAATTTATCAGTAAAACACAGAAAAGTTAAAAAAAAATGTTTAAACTTCAGTTCTGTCCAAGTTATTTGATGTCTAAAAAACTTTAACTCCAGAATGTATCTAAGTGGTAATTAAAAAATACTATTCCCATCTATCAGTAAAATACAGAAAAATAAAAAATATGATTTCAAAATCTTGTATCAGATGCTATCTCTTATTAATACAGAAGCTTCTGTTCCGATTTCATAAAATTCAATGATGGTTTGACAAAGTTATTGATTTCTACCGTAATCGGCCCTGCATAGTTTGCACTGTTACATTGTCCGCATCCCCTTCTCGTCACGAGAATTCAGGTAAAAAACTGTTTGTAACTGTTCGAAAATGTCCAATGAAACTCCGGTAATTTCAAATCGAGGTTGATCATTCGCGGTATTTTCATGGAAAAATATGTTTTCCATCATCTAATAGAAGTTGAAATTCTTGTAAATGATTCTAAAACACTTCACGAGTGTTAAAATAAGTCAAAATCACAAAAAAAAACAAATAATTGAGAAACTTGTATTTGTTTAAACAGCAACTTCGAATAGCACGTGTAAATGAAAATAAATACGGTGAGAGTGTTCAGAAAATATGTACTTAATAAATATCACTAGAATACGACTTTGAAAGTAAAACAGTTCCATCCTCAAGTAAAATAATGTTTAACATATCTATCACCTTAACGTGTGAAGGATCTTAAGCTAAAACAAACATGTGTTAGTACGAAACACCAAAACGGAACGAATAACTGATTATGTTTTGTAGTTTATACATCGTTATGCATAAGCTGGTTCCTGGCTGACTTATTACACTTTTTCGTTTTGTTAAATTTAAATGGATTCCATTTTCTTTTATGCAATGCAGTGAAAAGAAACGAGAAATTTGTAATGAAGCATTTAATTTTGAAATTTATCAGTTTATATTATATGGAATAAAAAGTGCATATTAATATGGATTAGGTATATTATTAGTTTTGAAAATCATAAGATCGCCCTCTACAATTTCAATAACAAACCTGGTGGAACTTAAAACAAACCTTGCGAAATCTATTTTTTCTCTTATTTCTTGCTTATCATTCTCTATAATCTGCACCCCTTGTGGCAGATTCAATTTTGGAGAATAAAACCGCGGACTATACAAGCCTGAATTGGGTAATAAAACTTTTACCCTAGACTATATCTATACATTGTGCATATTCAAAAGGCTGTGTCCTTTCACAATACTAATTTTCTAAAATGTTTTTCCTTATTGAAGTTTGGATTCATCTTTTCAAATTGATCAACTGATAACATATTTTAGCTAACTGATAGTAAAAGGTTATTTTTTGGGTAGCAATAACTGTGCTTTATTCTATTTCTCTGTATGTGTATGTATAAAGTCAAGGATTAGTATAATTTTGTCACTTTGCCACATTTATTGTTATATCATGTCCATGTAAATCATGAAAAGAAAATAATTAAAAAAAACAATCTTGTATTGTAAAACTCTACCCTAAAGCAAGAACCTTCTTTACTATTAGTATACTCTCTTTAACATAATAAAAACTGAATATTTTTAATCTTTTACGTTTGAATGATAACTTTAACGCCTTCTATTTTTTAATTTAAAAAAAAATTTAAATTTAAACTGCATTCTGTAAACAAAAATATCTGTTTACAATTTTTCTTTCTCTATAACTCACTTCAGTTCTGATGGTGCGACTCCCTTGACACGGGCAGGTGTTGAGGTAATGTTGGAACAACAAGCTGGGATTATCTACATTCAGCGCTTCATCTGCATCTAAACTTGTCTGTAAGCCTATAACACCACCAAATACTACTAGTGCATGTCTGAAAACAGATGTTACAAATTGTCAAAAAGCAAGTTTAAAAAACCTATATAACTGAACAATCTGCTCCATGTTCCTTTTAGATTGATAAAAACTGAACAATCTGCTCCATATCTTAGATTGATAAAAATGATAAAAAAAATAAACAAATGTAATTTGATATGATGAGCTGCATATAATGACAAAATTTTGAAAGGAAACATGAGAGCTATCTAACCAAAAGACCTAAACAACAGAAACTCTTGCTAAAAATCAATATATCTAAATGGCAGAACAATATGGTGAACTCTTAACATAACCAAACATCTTACAAATAAGACATCTTCTTTACAAAAGTCCTTGGAGAGATTGTTTAGTTGTCATGTGACCAGTTTAATACACATAAATTTAATGTGGTTAAATATCTATAATCTAAACAGAAGACATGTTTAATTTTGTACTTTTCATACTGTGTTGTATAAATAACACATAGCTGAGAGGGTGATAGAGCAGATTGTTACCCAGAGAAAACAGTACTAACCCTCTTAGGTATGTGTTATTTAATTTCTCAAACTCAATGTTCTGTCAATATTGTCTTTTAAATTTTTAATTGGAAATAATTAACTATGACGTCATGGTCATAACGTTGCAGTTATTGGAAAAACAACAAAAGTGAAGCAAGATGTATCTTTTATTTTGACAGTCTATGAAAAAAGTTCGGAGGCCAAAACATAGCAATTGAGCATTTTCTTTAAAATTATTGATGTAAATTCTATTCATTGTCCTTTATATTATCAATTTTGATTTGTCTGAATGGGAGGATAATATTCAAAAATTGAAATAGAGTAAACAAGTTAAACTGCAAGCTACTGCTAACTGATGATACCCCTGCCCAAATATTTCAGTAAACAGGAAGTTGTTGAGTGATGAATCTGAAAACACATCACACTGTATAGCCGACTTATATAAACCCTGAAACCAAATTTCAGAAATCCTTGTAGTGTAGTTCCTGAGAAAAATGTGCCGACAATTTTCAACTTGGCTATCATGTGTAAAATGATACAAGTGTTCAGTAAACAGGAAGTTGTTGAGTAATGAATCTGAAAACACATCACACTGTATAGCCGACTTATATAAATCCTTAAACCAAATTTCAGAAATCCTTGTATTGTAGTTCCTGAAAAAAGTGCGACGAAAAATTTTCATGGGACGGATGGACAGACTGACGGACTGACGATGGATGGACGGATGAATGGACAGACAGACAGAGGTAAAACAGTATACCCCCACTTTTTTTAAAGCGGGGGTATAACCCCACTTTTTTAAAGCGGGGGTATAATTATCTCCCTCATATTAGCCAATCAAAATCTGGCATTTTAACGTAACGTATAACAAATTTTATTAACATATATTTTAGCATTCAATGTTATAACCAGTAGCACATCTACATTGGATCTTTGTCTTTTTGTCTAGGTCATTGAATAGAATGACTTTCTATATATAGAATAATGGCATTTTTGTTTTTAATAATGACTTCATCAGCAAGAATATCAAGCGAGCTCGTTAGGACAAGTTGATGAAGTCGGTAGCAAAAAATAAAATGCCATTATTCTTTTTATCAGCAATTTCTCTTAACCGTATTTTTTTTTGCTTGAGAATATGAAGTAAAATGAAATAATAAGTAAAACTACTTTTTCGCATATAAAATGTTTGGATAGTTGTTCGGTTGTATGAATGAAGTCGTGTGCATTTCATTGATAAATTGAAGCGGATGGACACGAACATGTGACGTTGCTGTACTTATACATTTTGGCATTAACTAATATTTTCGAGTATCAAGTCCTGTCCATGATCTTGAAAATATTAGGCAGTAAGATCAAAGGGAAATGTAAAAATTGCCGATAATTAGACAGCACAGTGAGGAATTATCATAGTTTGTACTGAAGAATTAGAAATTTTACTTCTACTTAAAGACAAATCTTAAATATAGTTAAATAGATTTTCCTTACTGATAACCATCCAATGTTGTAAATGTATCTATATGTGATCCTTTTTCTGAGGTACCAATGGTCAGATCATAACCAGATTTTTATGGACACTCAGTAAAGCCTTTTATACCAACTGGCCCCGCTAAATTATCTTGGAAGGCACTGTGATTGTTTTCTCACCACTCAGTGTCATTCTAGAAGAGCAAGTTAAAGAATTGAAGGCCTCGGCACTGAAAAGTTGTATTTTGAATACTAGGGTAAAAATCTAGTTTTATTCTTATAGTCTTTGATCAGTTGATTGTGTACGCCAAAGAACAAAAATGCGCCGGGGTAGTCCAAATAAAAGCGTCTTGAGTTGATACTAAGGCCATTTTTTTGCTTTTGCATAGGCGGATTTTGGGAAGTTAGGGTGGCTTGGTCCCCATTCTGTGGTTAAAAAAAAATGATAGATTATATAAGGAATCACTGAAACATGACTGGTGTGGACCCCCTCTTAGACATTCAGTGGGCTCCCCTTCCTCCGTATCAGGTCTGTTCCTCCTCAAAGGCAAAACACATTCGCACCCTACACGTTCGTCTCCTGGGTCTGTTCTCACCCTATTTTTATTCAAATACCAGGTGAATTATAAGATGTCAGTGTCAACATTTTTATATTTTCATGAATAAAAGATCACTAACCGAAATATTTTGCTTAGTGAATAAATGATTAATTATTAAATTATTAAGATTACTGTTAATTGGTATTATTGGCATGTGTTGGTGTAAGGTAAAATACAAGTTGTTAGCTTGGTAGGAGTAAAAACAATGAAGATTTTAAATTAAAAAATGAAAGATAATTATTTGACAGCTTGTGACCAGTTTGATAGCCATTTGGAATGTTCTGTCTCTCTTTTACAAGTCTTGGAGACGAATGACTTTGTCTTTGATCATCATGGCAATATTCATTATCCATTTTGTCAAATTTAATATAATTCACAAAAGAAAACCTGTTTACGTTTTTAGAATGTCACTTTATTTCAAAACAATCAAAAAAACATATTTTACTAATTTTTTGTAGCAATACATTGACTAAAAACTTATTCAACACAAAATAATTGAAAATGGGTGCGAACGTGAAAGGGGCTAATGGTCATAATTATTTGGACTGGGTAGGGGGGTAGGTGGGTGGCATGGGGGTTAAGAATTTTGTTTTAACTGATTTAAGGTTTATTCATAACAAATCATGGTTCCATCAAATACATTTTTATACGACCGTAAAAAAATTTGCGGTCATATAATGGTATCACGTCGTTGTCATCCGAAGACAGTTGGTTTCCGGACAATAACTTTAGTATAATTAAATAGAAATCTATGAAATTTAAACACAAGGTTTATAACCACAAAAGGAAGGTTGGGAAAGATTTTGGGGGTTATGGTCCTAACAGTTTAGGAAATAGGGGCAAAAAAAGGGGCCCCAATAAGCATTTTTCTAGTTTCCAGACAATAACTTGTGGAACGGTGTATGGATCTCTCTGAAATTATACCACAAGTTTCCATACCACAAAGGGATGGTTAGGACTTGCTTTGGGGGGTTATGGCCCAAACTGTTTAGGAGTTAGGGGCAAAAAATGGGGAAAAACAAGGGTTTCCTGGTTAATGGACAATTAAGACAATTTAAAAGCTGTGTAAGGGAGGTAATCCAAACTCAACGTTTTGATTACCTCCCTTACACTGCTTTTAGATTATGTTTAAAGAAAGAAACTCAATTTTCCAAAGAAAAAAATTGGGGGACACAATTTATTTTGCTAATTCATTGTATATAGTCTGAAAACAGATTTACTAATTACTGCATAACAGCACAGTGTATTGCACAACATCAAGAAATCTTCAATTGAATATATTTTCTAGTTTCAGGACAATAACTTGTTTATAACTATTTTGATTGCTCTGAAATTGTACCAAAAGGTTCAATACCACAAGTAGAAGGTAAGGATTCATTTTGGGGGTAACTGCCCAAACCGTTCATGAAATAGGGGCCAAAAAGGATCTAAAACAAGAATTTATCTAGTTTTCAGACAATAACTTGTGGTTAAGTGTATGGATGTCTCTTAATTTGTACCACATTTTACAAAAAGAAAATTTTTCAAAATTGGAGGGGGTTAAAAAAAAAATTTTGGGGGGTTCAATTTTTTTTCCTCGATTTAAGAAATTGTAAATTTTCCAGAGAAAAAAATGGGGGGTCACAATTTATTTTGCTAATTCTTTGTATATAGTCTGAAAACAGATTTACTAAGTATTGCACAACAGCACAGTGTATGGCACAACAGCAAGAAATCTTCAATTGAATATAAAATATCATACAACCAATTTCAAGTTCTTTGACTACATTTATTCTGTGTCAGAAACCTATAATGTGTCAAATATTTAATTACAATCCAAATTCAGACCTGTATCAAGCTTGAATATTGTGTCATTTCTGCCCCAACTGTTCAGGGTTGGACCTCTGCGGTCGTATCCAGCTGCGCTCGGTGAAGCAGTTTATTATTCATATTTCAAGAATTAGATGCATGTTATATGTGAGCCAAGGCTCAGTGTTGAAGACCATACTTTGACCTATAATGGTTTAATTTTACCAAATTGTGACTTCGATGAGACAGTTGTCTCATTGGCACTCATACCAAGTCTTCTTATATCTATATACAAGACCAAAATTTGCTGGATCAAGTAACAAAAATGATAAGACTGCATTGATTAGTGGCTTTAATGTCACTTACAGCACGACTAGTATAAATAATAAAGAATTATGAGTGCAAAGAGATGATCACTGACTAATCCCTTTTCTGATTTTCCATTTATAATTAATTACATATAACAAATAACTGTAGTGGTAGCCTAAAGCCACCTGATGAGTACCCTTGACAGGGACGAAACAGTTTTACTAACATGTCCAAGAAAAGATAACTGCTATTTAAAGATTTGAAGATACTCATGTCTGTCTGGTAGGGTTCAACTAAACTTAAACCTCCTGTTCATGGTTCACCAGTTAATTTGAAGT